TATTACTATAACAAATGTCCCAAAAAAAGAAGTCAAAAAACGAAACCTATACATATCTCTTTTTATGGTAGAGACAAGAAATTAATAGACCTCTACATTATAACAGTATCCACAAAAAGAACGGAACCTGCACATGACTATCTTTTATAGTGGAGATAAAAAAGACAATATGTTTCTACACAAAAGGATCAGATCTATGCATGACTCCATTTATGGTTGAGACAAAAAATCAATGAGGTTCTACATCATAGCGAGTATCCACGAAAAAGAAATCCCTTATGTGCAGTTAATAATATTAATATACCATCGTGACATATACGATGGCAAATATTATGAAAAGTTAAATTTTTAGCTCGATCAATTTATGTTTGAAAGTATTTCAATAATGCTAAATTAAAGACCGCTTGTTTTCAATAACCCTTCACCATCAATAAAATCCCTTGCATTATTATTATTGTCGTTCTTTGGTTTGTTTATTCAGCAGAACGCGGGAACCGGGCTTAGTTCAAATATTTGTTACACAACATGATTTTGATTATCGTTTATTACCAAATTTATACATCTAACCGCACAGGAGATTGCATGATCGTCTATTGGTACCCAATGGGCTAGGTAGTAAAAAGCACAGGACTTCTCGACGTCATGGATACGGGGATAAAGACGCATTTGCTTTTAAAAGGAATCCGTAAAAAAGGTCGTGCGAGTTCAAGCTGTTCTACTAAAACGTATAGTTGCAGGAGGAGAGTGAATACGGCATGCCTATCTCTTTTTTGCTTTTATGCAGTATGAGAAAGTATTCTCTTCCTTTATGATTTTTAAAGATTAACAAATAAACAACGTACTAACCCGTTAATAACATAATTAGAGCTAACACTCCAAATAATAGTTGGTAAGCATATTATATTACATTGTGATAATGCCACTTGCGTTTTTATATACAGCGGTCGAACACTTGGATTGTTCAGAGGAGGGGGATACCAGTTGCGTTGGTTGCAACACATGTGTGATAAAAATCACAATATGTACAATATGTGTAATGCACATCCGGTTGTACTACTCTTTGGATAATCCTAATTTGGTTAGGGGCTAATATTCTGCAGATACCAAATGTAGAAAGCGACTACCATATTTTGAGATAACAAACAAGGTTAAATCTAAATATACTCGCCCAAATTTATGAAACCGTTTTTACCGATATAAACCGCGATCTTTCTGTTCTGTTCATTAACTTGATTTCTGAATATACTTATTCAAATGGGCGGTGGTGCTATTTCTCATATCATCCCCCCTGACGTCTTCAGGCCTGGAAATCCAGAAAGACGAGCACGACTCCAAGATTTGATTCAACAGATTGGGACAAGGTCTGCACAACGGGATGCACTTTATAATCAGGTCTATCTCGTGATGGAAAAGCATGAAAAAGAGATCCTGGACGCATTTAACGACATCGTCAATGCACTTCAAAAACCCGAAGGCCATCTCACTCTGCGTGTTATTGCAATCATGAGTGCTATTCGCAAGTTCGAACCAGAGAGCAACTTGGGAATTCAAATTACTGAAGAAGTATTGCAAGGTTTACAAGCCGTGCTAGCTATTGCCGTGTTGGTCGGAGCAACCAATCCATATATTGCTCCAGCCCTCGTTGCATTAGCTGCAGCCACGATAGTAGTGGATATAGTCGGTAGTATTTTGGACGCAGAAGCTGAATACAATGCCCTCATGGAGCGGATTGACCAAGCAAACACGACTTTAGCCGCTCTAAATAAAAACTATGACGAAATCAATACTGGAGTCGATAAGGTATTAAAGATTCTTAATATTTACGCATCATTATACCCACACTTTTATCGCTAATGTACTTTACCGTTTTCTATTAGTTGGCAGCTTTTATAAATGATATTGTTCAAAGACTAGTCTACGTTTCTTATTTTGAAACCAACGTGAACTTGCGTGACGCTAAATACACCCGAGACACTTTTAATCAAGACTTTGAGAGGATCCAGCCTCAGTTGATAATCTTACGAAATGAATTCCTTACTCTGAAGGATAAAGTTGATGGAATCGTGACAATGTTTAACGACAAGGTACCTTACCCTAAGATTGCAAAGTATGCAAACCATTCCGAAGGTTTCGTAATCACCGCTCATATTTATTACTTATTCAGGTACCAAGAGAGTTGCTTTGATTATACTATAGTTGTTTTATTTGTATTATGCTTACATAAATGTATACTATATGTAGTGAGAAGAAAAAGACCGTGAAAGAAGTCATGAAAATTACTGGCCGAAGCAAAGCCGAAGTCGAGGCTGCACAAATCGCAAGTGTTCTTTTGGATCATCCGGACTGGTCAATTGATCGCGTAAAGGAAAGCATTGCTGGAAAGAAACCGGAAACCGTAAAAGCCTCTAACATTGTAACTGCCAGCGATTCACCGGCTTACATACATTCATCTGCATCGCCAGAGGACGCTGACACAAAGAGGCTTTGTGGTATGGTGGATGCGACCAAATCACATTTAAATGATCTATTTTTATCTATTTTGCAGGTTTGATTAAGT